TCCCTTTCCCTTTCCTTTTCCTTTTCCTTTCCTTTTCTTTTTTTTTTCATTGAGGTAGAATTCACAGAATAGGAAGGTCATCATTTTAAACACCTAAAGTGTACCGTGGAGTAGCTTTGAGGGCAACACTGTTGTTTCAGCACGGTTTTGTCACCCCTGCCATGCCTTGGGTACGTTTTGTCTCCCAGAGGTTTATGTACCAGGAGCTTGATCCTCAATGCAGCAGCTTTGATGTGGGAACGTTTAAGGGGTGGGGCCAGTGGGAGATGGTGAAATTGTTGGACACCACCTTTAGAAGGGGTTGGCGCCCATCTCATGGCAGTGGCTTATGTCTTGTGTAACTGGATTAATTCTCAAGAGAGCAGATTGTTAGAAAGGGAGGCCACCATGCGCTTCCCCACCAAATGGGACACAGCCAGGGGCCCCTGCAGGTACTGATGTGCTGTTGGGAGTTCCCAACCGCAGGAACAAGCTTCTTTTCCTTGGAAAGTCCTCACCAAAGTGACAGAAACCAGACTAAGACAGCCCCTGAAAGAAACCTTGTCCCCTTTAAGCACCAAGTACCCATTTCATGCCCCACCACCAGCCACCAGTAATTACCAGTCTGCTTTGTGTCTTTCCAGATTTGCCTCTTCAGAACATTTCCTGTAAGGGAATTATAAATATGTGTCCTTGCTTGTCTGACTTTTTTCCTGTAGAATAATGTTTCCAAGGTTTAACTCTTTGGAAGCATGTGCCACTGCTTCATTCCTTCTTACACTGGACATACCAGGTTTTGTTTATCCATCCATCAGTGGAAAAACATCTCATTGTTTCTACTTTTTGGCAATGATGACTAGTATTGCTATGAGTATTTGTGAACAAGTTTTTGAACACCTACTCTCAGTTCTCATGGGATTTACCTAGGAGTAGAATGCTAGGCCATATGAAATTCTGTGTTTCGCTTTTTGAGGAACTGTCAGACTTTGCCACAACAACTGCCTTTTTATGCTCTCACCAGTACGTGAGGGATCCCGTGTTCTCCTCTGCTTCTCCAGCACTTGTCCTTGATCATTGTCATCCTGATGTGTATGAAGTGATATCATGCCATTTTGATCACATTTCCCTAGTGACTAATAACATCAACCATCTTTTCATGCACTTATTGGCTCTTTTCTTCTTTGGAGAAATGTCTATTCAAGTTCTTTGCCCATTTTTTGATTGGTTTTCAGTTTTAGATTGTAAAACCTTGGTATACGTTGTGAATATTATACTCTTGTCTGAAATAAATTTGTAAATTCTCCACTTTTGAGTGTTTTCATTTTCTTGTTACTATTCTTTGATACTCAAAAGTTTTAATTTTGATGCCGTCCTATTTATCTATCTTTTCTGTTTGTGCTTTTGGTGTCATACTCAAGAAAACATTGCCAAAGCCAAGGTCATATTTTCTTCCAAGAATTTTTATAATTTTAACTCTTCCATTTAGGTGTTTGAGCCACTTAAAGTTGATTTTGCATGGAGTCTGGAGGAAGGGTCATCTTCATTCCTTTGCCTGTGCATATCTGTTTGTCCCAACATCTTTGTGGAAGAGGCTGCTCTTTCTCCATCAAATGGTTTTGGCACCTTTATAAATACTACTTGACCATAGACACTGGAGTTTATTTCTAAACTCTCAGTTCTATTCCATTGTTCTGTAGGTCTAGCCTCATATCAGTACCGCATTGTCTTTATTACTGTTGCCTCATAGTAAGTTTTACTATCAGGAAGTGTCAGTGCTTCTACTTTGTTATTTTTTTCAAGACTGTTTTGCTATTTGGGATCACTTGCAAATCCATTAATTTTAAGAACAGCTCATCCATTTCTGGAATAAAGTACCTGATAGAATTTATAATAGCAATTGCATTATCTCTGTAGATTGTTTCTAGTGATTTTGTCATCTTAATAATACACATCCTTTTGTTACTCATGTTTAATCACATTCTACTGTAGTTAGGAGAATACTTTGTGTGGTTTCATTGTTTTTAAATTTAGAGAGGCTTGTTTTGTGGTCTGACACACGGTTTCTCCTAGAGAATATTCCAGCTGTGTTTGGGATAAGTATGTGTTTTTGTGTTGGATGGAGTGTTCTTTAGATAACTGTGAGGGCTAGTTAGTTTAGTTTTGTTTAAGTCCTTTTCCTCCTTATCCATCATCTGATGTGTTGTTCTGTTCATTATTGAAAGCCTCAAGCTATTATTTTAGCCTCAAGCTGTTTTCAATTCTATCATTTTTTCTCTTCAGTTTTATCATTTTCCCCTGCAATTCTATCGTTGTTTTAACTTCATAATTACATTGTAATTGTTACTTTTTTAAAAAATTTATTTATTTTCATTCCATTTGAAAGCACATGTGTGTGTGCTGCTTCACTCCTCAAAAGCCTGCAACAGTCAGGGCTAGGCCAGGCCAAAGCCAGTAGCCTGAAACTCAATCCAAGTCTCCCATGTGGAGACAGACAGGGACCCACCCTCATGGAGCTACCCTTAAGAACTAAATATCTATTTCTTGCCCTTGCTTAATAGTCTCCAAAGTTAAAAGGTTTGGGTCTTTTGAAGCATGTAGTAGAACTTAGACATGGGCTTCTAGGACTATATTTTTTTATTTTTGTTATTTTTTGACAGGCAGAGTTAGAGAGAGAGAGACAGAGAGAAAGGTCTTCCTTCTATTGGTTCACCCCCCAATGGCCGCTACGGCCAGTGCACTGTGCCGACCCAAAGCCAGGAGCCAGGTGCTTCCTCCTGGTCTCCCATGCGGGTGCAGGGCCCAAGCACTTGGGCCATCCTCCACTGCCTTCCCGGGCCACAGCAGAGAGCCGGACTGGAAGAGGAGCAACCAGGACAGAATCCAGTGCCCCAACCAGGACTAGAACCCGGTGTGCCTGGGCTGCAGGCAGAGGATTAGCCAAGTGAGCTGCGGTGCCGGCCTCTAAGACTATTTTTGCCCTGCTATCCTGAATGCTGAATTGAAGATGCTTGCATTTTTGTTCCTTGTGGGAGTTATTATCTCCATTAGAATTTAAGCATAATTATTTTACTGTTCCTGAAGTCACACATTGTCATAAGTGTTGACTTCAGATTCATGGACTTGCTTATCCCCCACCCACTACTCCTATAACATGTGTATTTTCTTCATGAATAGGATGCCATGTTGATAAACCCAAACTGATAACCCATTTGGAGCAAGAAGACAGGTTGATACCGGAGGAGAGAAGCCTTCTCCCAGACACTTGTCCAGGTGAGCACTAAGTAGATATGCACCCTTATGAGGAACAACTGGCCAGTGACTTGAGGATTAGAAGGATTGCATTAATTACTGTCCACCAGGGAACTTTGTAAAATGCCCTCTTCTTCGAAAAAAGGTGGAGAAGAACGTGTCATCAGCTTCCTTGTGTAGTTTTCTTCGTTTCCTCTTTAATTCTTTATTCTTTTTCTCATACTTTACTCTGGCCCCAAGGGCAAAACAAAGATGCAACTGTTATCTTTTTAATATTAAATCCACTTCTTTCTTGAGTGCATTCCTGATAATCCCTTCTTTTGTCAATCCAATCAATCTGTTTCCTAGAATCCTTTTTCTTAAAGTGAATACCTAAAATTTCTATAACCAAGTCATTTTCATAACAGACCTCCTCAAAAACCACGATCCCTCAGAGCGTGCCACTACTTGTGTGTCCACATCACCGTTTATTCTCTCAATCTGAATTTCTTTTCAATTTCTTCCAGATTTGGAGCCTGTTCTGAAAACCAAATGGTTAACTCCTAAGAAGCATGCATTCAAAAAAGAACAGTCTAAAGGTGTAAAAATGGTAAGACTATCTAACAATCAATTTCTGGTTTTCTACAATAGGAAAATTCAAAGAAAGTAGTGTCCCTGAAAAAGTACTGTGAAGCCATTGTTAGCTACAAATTTGTAATTGTAAATTAGCTAAAAATTTGTTTCTTCACTGAAAGTTCCACAAGTAAGTATTTCCTTAAATGTGACTCAGATATTGCCTGTTTGAGACAAATTGGCCATAACTTTATCAGAAAATGGCTTGGGAATGTTGTAAGGACTTGGGGCAAAGCATCTGTCATTTTTAATGTCTGTATTCTCAAACATTCTCAAACGTCTGTATTCTGTAGTCTGGGCAACAGTCATATGAAAATATCCAAAGCATCAGTTATAATAATGAACAGAATTCCCAGGAGAGAGAACTCATGTCACAACATTCCATGTTAAAAACATTAAGAAGTTATAGTTACCATGCATCTCTTTAACAGGAAAGAAGTCATCGTGGAGCAAAGCTCAATGAATGTAATCAGTGTTTTAAAGTCTTCAGCACAAAATCTAACCTTACTCAGCACAAGAGAATTCATACTGGAGAAAAACCCTATGACTGTACTCAGTGTGGAAAGTCCTTCAGTAGTAGGTCTTACCTTACTATTCACAGGCGAATCCATAATGGGGAGAAACCCTATGAATGCAATCACTGTGGGAAAGCATTCAGTGATCCTTCATCCCTTCGACTGCACGTGAGAATTCATACTGGAGAAAAGCCCTATGAATGTAACCAGTGTTTCCACGTCTTCCGCACTAGTTGTAACCTCAAAAGCCACAAGAGAATTCATACTGGGGAGAATCACCATGAATGTAACCAATGTGGAAAGGCTTTTAGCACAAGATCCTCCCTTACCGGACACAACAGCATCCACACAGGTGAGAAACCTTATGAGTGCCATGATTGTGGGAAAGCCTTTAGGAAGAGCTCCTATCTGACACAGCACGTGAGAACTCATACAGGAGAAAAACCCTATGAATGTAATGAGTGTGGAAAATCCTTCAGTAGTAGCTTTTCTCTAACTGTGCACAAGAGGATACATACAGGAGAGAAACCTTATGAATGCAGTGACTGTGGGAAAGCCTTTAATAATCTCTCAGCTGTTAAGAAACACTTGAGAACGCACACTGGAGAAAAACCCTATGAATGTAATCATTGTGGGAAGTCTTTCACAAGTAACTCTTACCTGTCTGTGCACAAGAGAATACATAATAGGTGGATATAAACTACTGTGGGTATTCTATGGGAAAGCACTCATTGATATCTCATCCCTTAGACACTCTTAAAGAACTCACACCCGATGTGCGAGTTCACCTGTTGGTACGTGACAAGTTACTCTCCAAAAATTTGTGGCATCAGACATTATGTCAAAATATCCATAGATCAGGAATGCAGGAATAGCTTAGCACTGCAGTTCTGGCTCAGGATCTCGATGACTTTGTACCCAAGATGTCAGCCAGAGTTGCAGTCGTCAAATCTTCACCAATGAAGACTCCACTTCAAGATGGCTCCTTTCTTTACCCTTCACCCTTCACCCTTCACCCTTCACCCTTCACCCTTCACCCTTCACCCTTCACATGCCTGGCGAGTCAGCTCTGGTTGTTTGCAGAGGACCCCTCAGTTCCTCACCCTGTAGACCTCTATAGAGCTGAATGACTACACCATGGCAGCAGTTTCTCCCAGAGTGATCCAAAAGAGGGTCTGTGCAGAAGCCACATCGTCTGTCATGTCTTAGCCTCAGAAGGTCGTGATTTCACTTCCATATTTTATTGTTCATTGTCCAGTCCTAAGACAGAAGACTGCACAATGTATGAGTACCAGGAGATACATCACTGAAAACCATCTGGGGAACTTGTCATGAAGTTAATGAAGAAAAGCTTTTGGCACCTGTGCATCCTTTAGTGACTAAACAAGTATTCAGTGGCTGTCCTGCTAATTCACTCTGAAGAGGAACCTTGGGAGCATAGTCTACACGCTAGAGCTTTCAGCACAAACTCTCACTGTAATGTGCCCAACAGTATGTGCTGGGAAAACCACAGGAATGGAATAACTGTAGGAAAGGCTTCTGTGATGTTTTGGAGTAGTCATATGGCAGTTCACACTAAGGGAAAATCCTGATGAAGATGATCAGAATGCAAAAGCCTTCAGGGACACTCATCAATTAAGACACATGGGAAATCCTAAAAGGGAACACTCATAAGAAATGTGGAAAACCCTTCAGCATAAATGGTCTTGTTACTGAGCAAAAGATCAGGTGAGGTAGTCTTACTAAAGTGAGTAGGGAAAAGCCTCAGATGTTCTCTAAATTTATAAAAATCTTTTTAACATGCAAGTATACACATATTTATTTTTAAAAGTATATTTTGAAAACAATGTATATACACATGTCTGAACAGCATGGCTGACCATGGTGAGTTTTTGAGAATCATTTAATGTATTGACAATAGTACTGGTGCAGACAGAGTAAGAGTTAACAGTAGTGTTTTGGGAATACCAGTAGGGATTGATTGGGTATGTAGAAAGAGCCTCATCGTGGATAGTAATGACATGCAAAATTCTAAATTCCCATGACAGAAGTGGCCCACACCATCCAAAAAGCCTCCCAACTTTGCTGGCACCTGCACCTGCAAGGGACAGAAGAACTTGGTTATAATGGGCACAGGGATGGAGGACTGACCTAGAGATAAACTCTGAAGAAGTAGGGTTAAGACAAATGTGTTCATACACACATATCCCACAGAGGATATTACAGTAGAGAAAAGAATTGTACCCCATTCAGCAAAGGAGCTCCAAGCTTCCCTGGTTCCTCTTGGCATAAGCCAGGCCATTTCAGTTGACTCACAAAGATATCATTCAGTGTGGTGGGGGCAGACCTCTGGGTTAGAGCAGATCTACGATAGCTACTGCATTAATTGAACATTCCTAATTAAAAATCCTGTTAATTGCCAACTACAGATAGAGAAGCCAAAATCCCTTTTAGTCCATAACCCAGAGTGTGATATAGTCAACATTTTCCTACATGATAGTGGAATCAAACAGGTCTCGATATAATTAAAAAAAAATTTTTTTTTGACAGATTTAGACAGAGAGACAGGTCTTCCTATCTGATGGTTCACCACCAAAATGGCCGCTATGGCCGGCACGCTGCAGCTGGTGCGCTGCGCCGATCCAAAGCAAGGAGATAGGTGCTTCCTCCTGGTCTCCCTTGCGGGTGCAGGCCCCAAGCACTTGGGCCATCCTCCACTGCCTTCCCGGGCCATAGCAGAGAGCTGGACTGGAAGAGGAGCAACTGGGACAGAACCGGCGCCCCAACCGGGACTAGAACGCGGGGTGCCGGTGCCTGCAGGTGGAGGATTAGCCAAGTGAGCTGGAGCAATATAATGTTTTAGCAAGCAGACTTTTTGGGTAAAGATATTAGGTCCCAAATGCTAAACTTTGTTCTTACTGGTGGAAACCAAGCTTTAATAGATTTTTTGAACCCAAACCAAGTCTCTATGGACCCAGACTGTTGGGTGGATTTAAATCTGTCACATTTATTCATATCTTTAGGTTAGGCCCAGGGTAATGGAATTTAGCCAAGGTTCCCTATTGAGTGCCATCAGTATTTGAAAATCTTTCCTCATATTTGTTAGGACACTTGTGAAAAGACACACCATAGAGAAACTTGTGAAAATAAAGTAATAGAGCCATCTCTCAGTGATGCCTCTAATATTAGGAAAATCCTCCCTGGATGTAAAACCCATGAATGTATTAATTTTGGAAAAATTTAAGAGAGACCTCTTTTTGTTGTGGGTATGGGAACTCCTGCTCATGGAAAACCCGAGGTATTTTGGCAATCAGAGTTAGGATGCCTCACCCTCAACTCTTCCTTGAGTGGCTGTAAAATAACTTATAGTGGGATTGAAAAGCATGAATGTCTTATCTATTGGTTGGACCATTAGTTCATTAATTTTCAATCTTTGTTTTACATAACTGTAAACAGTTGTGTCTGTAACTGTTTCCTCAGTTAGCCTTAAGTTAGCCTCAAGTTAAAGTCCATGATTTTGGAAAATTTATTATAATTTGCTCTTTAAAAATATTAATACGGCCCCCAAATATTTTTGAATAGCTCTTGAGTGCTTTTGTCTAATGGTGTTTTACCGAAGTCTGTGAACTTAATATTCTTTTTTCCTCTTTCTCTTCTAGTGTGGTAAATACTGTTAGTTTCTTTCCCAATTTCCATCCTCCCCTGCTTACTTATTCAAAGAAAAACATTTTGTTCTAGTTGTCCATGAGCAGTTTTGAAAATAGTCAATTTGCCAGGCTCTCCTAAAGCTAACAGAGGCTTTGTCCCACTCTAGTAGCCATGAGGAGCAGGTTGGAGTCATTGGTAGTAGTGGGGGGACACCACACTTATTCTGTTCTCCATTCATCTGAATGTGGCCTCACAGTCTCAAACCTGCAGAACCATTTTTGACCGTGATGCAGGAAAAAAAAAAAAAAATCAATGATTTGAGTTCCCCAGAGGCTTCTCATTGACTGTATCAGTTCCAGATTGCTTGTTAGATTCCTTATGTAATTAAAAGTAATACACTTAACTAGTTAAAGCCAAAGTAATTCATTGTTTGTTTTTGAAGTTATGTTCTAGTAACTTCCAGCTAAATGGAGTCTGGTAAGCCTATTTGTTTTACCCGTTTCATGTTTCCCTGAAAATGATGCATATTCTCTAATATTTAGACTTAGCATGTGTTTCCTTTTTTTTTTCTTTTTTATTTTTTTGACAGGCAGAGTGGACAGTGAGAGAGAGAGAGAGAAAGGTCTTCCTTTTGCCGTTGGTTCACCCTCCAATGGCCGCCACGGCCGGCACGCTGCAGCCGGCGCACCACGCTGATCCGATGGCAGGAGCCAGGTGCTTATCCTGGTCTCCCGTGGGGTGCATGGCCCAAGCACTTAGGACATCTTCCACTGCACTCCCTGGCCATAGCAGAGAGCTGGCCTGGAAGAGGGGCAACCGGGACAGATTCCGGTGCCCCGACTGGGACTAGAACCCCGTGTGCCGGCACCACAAGGTGGAGGATTAGCCTAGTGAGCCGCTGCGCCGGCCTAGCATGTGTTTTCAAATATAGTATGTGCATCAGATTTTTTTCTTTATTCATCAATAGAGGTGTTGTAAAGTCTTTCATTATGATTGTGGATTAATGTTCCTTCTGTAATTCTGTCATTTTTGATTTACATATTTTATATGCTATAACTGCATACAGATTAGATATTATATGATTTGTTTTTTTATGTGTAGGGACCATATTTTTACATGTGAAAGTATTATAATGCATTAATAATAGATAGTTAAGCATTCATGTAGTACTTCCCATGTAACAAGCACTCTCCTGAATGCCTTATGACTATTAATAAGTGAGTGCTCATTATCATTATAATTGTTATGTATAATTATATTACTATTTTTATAATTATAATATGTACATTTATTATCCCCATCTTGTGGATGATAAAACAGGTATGATGTGCTTCAGTTACCTGCCTGAGTTCATTGGCTAGTAATTGATACCTAGTTTTGATACCAGACACACCCATTTGTTCCTATTAGTAAATACATTCTATATGTGAAGCAAAGACCCATCATTGAAGTACTTCATCCTAATGAAGGTGGGACAGATTATGGAGAAATTAAAAAAATACATATTCTGTAGAAAATGAAAGCATTTACATAGAATTAAGGGTGATTGGAAACTCATAATTTTATATAGAATAGGAAGGAAAAATCTCAGTTTAAGAGCATTTGAGCAGAAACCTGAATGGGACAATGAACCATGTGAATTTATGTAGCAAAGGCCCAAAGCAGAAAGCCACTATAACTAGAGTAGAACAGGTAGGGAGGGGTAGAACATACTAGAGATATGGTCCTGATCTTGTTGGGTTTTATAGATCATTGCAAGGACTTAATTTTCAGTGAGTTGGCAGATCTGTCAGAGTCCTAGGAAGAAACTGTTGATATCCTCTTACTAGGACAGTTCATGTAAAGTTTTCAAAAAGGGAGTGCAGACAGGATGCAGGGAAGCCCCCCAAAATGTGGTACAGTATTGGAAGGCCAGGGCTCTGGTAGTGTGCTTAACTCTAAAGGAGTTCGGAGAAGAAACAACTACTGAAATCAGGAGATGAGAGGGTTGCATTCCAGGAGCTTAGGAGGTTATGTAGCATCCAGCCCTAGGTTCTGCAGGAAATAGGGCCAGACCTCACTCTTCTTCCTCCTCCTTCTTCTTCCTCCTCCTCTTCCTCCTCTTCCTCCTCCTCCTCTTCTTCTTCCTCTTCTTCACAGTCAGAGTGGACAGTGAGAGAGACAGAGAGAAAGGTCTTCCTTTGCCGTTGGTTCACCCTCCAATGGCTGCTGCGGCCGGCGCGCTGTGGCCAGTGCACTGCGCTGATCCGATGGCAGGAGCCAGGTGCTTCTCCTGGTCTCCTATGGGGTGCGGGGCCCAAGGAGCTGGGCCATCCTCCATTGCACTCCTGGGCCACAGCAGAGAGCTGGCATGGAAGAGGGGCAACCGGGAAAGAATCTGGCGCCCCAACTGGGACTAGAACCCAGTGAGCCGGCGCCGCAAGGTGGAAGATTAGTCTAGTGAGCCGCGGCGCTGGCCTCCTTCATTCTTCTGATATCATCCTGGGCTTCCCCATTGGCCAAACTCAACCAGAAGCCATGGGCAAGGAGGGTTGGTGACATCGTTCATGTCAGATAACCTTTCTAGGTATAGCAGGGTAGAGAAGGTGGATTCTTGATAGGCAAGTTGAAGATAGCCAGTAGTAGCTACCTCTTTTAAGTCTTAGAATCTATTCTTTTTTTCTTTTATTTATTTATTTATTTATTTGACAGGCAGAGTTAGATAATGAGAGGGAGACAGAGAGAAAGGTCTTCGTTTTTCCGTTGGTTCACCCCCCAAGTGGCCACTACATTGTGGCCGGTGCGCTGCGCCAATCCAAAGCCAGGAGCCAGGAGTCGTGCTTCCTCCTGGTCTCCCTTGCGGGTGCATGGCCTAAGTACCTGGGCCATCCTCTACTACACTCCAGGGCCACAGCAGAGAGCTGGACTGAAGGAGGAGCAACCGGGACAGAATCTGGCGCCTGGACTGGGACTAGATCCCCGGGGTGCTGGCGCTGCAGGCGGAGGATTAGCCTAGTGAGCCATGGCGCCGGCCTAGAATCTATTCTTAAGAATCATCACCTGGGTGGAAAGTTCCATATCCCTGCTGAGGAATTCTATCAGCTGGTTTACTGTTTGTTCATGTTTCCACATGACACCTAAAATGTTTGCTGCCACCAGTGTTTCTCATGTAAGATGAGAAATGAGACTGTAGGGGGGAAAGTATAATGATTGACCTAAAATCTCTGGATCCAGAGGGGGAACACTTTCACCAGGCAACAGATCAAGAGTTCTGTTGAACTTTAAGCTGTCATTGTAGCTAAGAGACCAACACAGGAGGGAAGGAGTTACCATACTAGCATGAAATTAGTTTTATCTAGATGATGTGGGGCTACTGTTAATACACTGAGAGCAGGAGGAGAACATTTGACAGATATTCTTTCCTAAGTGTGTATCTTGATATTCCTGATACTCTTTCCCTAATTTTGATGATAAATAAATGCAGCAGCTGTGTCCTGAGAAGGGCTTGATAAACATGTGTCCAGACCCTTGGGTATGAGGGTTTGTATTGGCCCTTCCACCAAGTCACCTAGGCCCCCAGAGGTGTCAGTCAAGGGTGAAGGGAATCTAGAATGGGGCAGTAGAGGAGAGTAGTGATGATATCAATTGCAGATTTGAGACTGGTTTGTTAGGGGTGGAGGGAGCTATCTAATTTGTTCCATTGACCTTGTAAGTTTCTCAAGACCATCTTAAAGCAGGCACTTTATGTATACACACACGCACACACACATACATATGTAGAATATCAAGTTATATATATAATGATATATATTATTTATATCAAGTATTATATATATAAAATTTATATGTGAAAGGCAGGGGGGGTAGAGATATGGCTCTTTCATTTGCTGATTCACACCCCAAATACTCAGCCAGGTGTGAGCCAGTCAAGCCAGGAGTAAGGAACTCCATCCTGGTCTCCCACATGGGTGGCAGGAATCCCAGCACTTGGACCACCTGCTTCTGCCTTTCCAGGTACATTAGCAGGAAGCTGGGTCAGAATCAGAGCAGCCAGGACTAAGTATGGGATGCTGTGCCACAACACCAGCCCCTGGGTGCAGGCACTTTAAGAAGCAAGTATGGGGCCAGCGTGGTGCCATAGCAGGTTAAGCCTCTATCTGTGATGCCAATATCCCATGCAGGTGCCAGTTCAAGACCCAGCTGCCCTACTTCCAATCCAGTTCTCTGCTAGTGCACCTGGGAAGACAGCAGAGGAGGATCCAAGTGCTTGGGACCCTGTACCTGTGTGGGAGAGCCAGAAAAAGCTCCCAGATCCTGGCTTCAGCCTGGCTCAGCCCCAGCTGTTACAGCCATTTGAAGAGTGACCCAGTAGACAGAAGATCTGCCCTGTCTCTGTAACTCTGCCTTTCAAGTAAATGAAAACATTAATCTTAAAAAAATAAAAGCAAGTGCATGTGAATGCCATAAATTGTGGACCATAGTGGATATAGCAGTTTGTTTTCTAGATCCTGCAAGACTAAGCTATTCCTTCAGCTGTTGGAAGTATTATTTGCTAATGGCTTATGTTGCTATCCTCTCTGAGAATTCTTTTAGGCAAAAGGAAAGTTCCTCATCTGAGAATGTGGCCCCTACTCCACTTCCTCTGACTGGTTAATTTGGAGAGGGGAGGATCATCAGATTATGGCTGTTTCCATGTCTCAATTTGGAACCTCCCTGAAGGGCCACCCCACTTCCAGAATTCCCCATAGGATCAACTGTCTTCTATTTTAGTTTATCACAATTCAATCTTGATTCAATCCTTTATAGAGATTGTGTTCCCAAGAGTTAGTAAGAAAACACTCTACCTCACCTGAGAAGAGATCACAGTATCAGGTGAAGAACCTCAATCAAATGAGAATCTTGCATACATGAAGGAGGACATGCAAGGAGTTGTGGAAGAAGGCTAGCAGAGTTGGCAGGGAGTATTGAAAGCTGAAGAGTTGTGCAGAACTTTCAGAGGTCACAAATGCTGGGAGTTGAAGTTTGGACTCATCCAAAGCGGAATGACCTAGAGGGGAACCTCAATTATAATAAAAATCCTAGAAATGTCCCACTGTGGGACTAAGTAGCATACACTAAGAATAAGGACTATATCTTAGGAGTAAATGCAAAACTGAAAGGGTATTTCCCTAAAAGGTACAAAACCTAAATTTCGTAGTCTGAGGGTGATCTGTTAGTATTAAACTGCCTGTCATAACAAAATTCAGTATTTAGTGGCAGATGACATAGTTAAGACCCTCTGTAACTATTACTACATCCAGCGCACAGACAACAGCTAGACAGGCAAAGCCGCAAGAAGATGTTCTCAATTACAAATATAAAAATCAATAAAAATAGGCCCAGAGAAATTTCAGGTGCTAGAGTTAGACAAGGATAGTGGTTAGAAGTAATGATGAATTTGAAATGACTATGATTAAAATACTAAGGAAAATTGAGAAAATATGGACAAACCATAGAAAATCAAAGACAACCTGAAAGTCCTCAAAGCAACCAAAGAAAAAAGGCAATTTCTATTAAAGGAGCAACAATATTGATGACTTTCAAAAGGACCTATGGAAGTAAGACGACATTGGATGATGATTATGATATTTGACTTTTCAAGGGTTAACGTAGGACAAGGAGACACTGTGACTTCCTAAAAATTTAGAACTGATGAAAATATTCCTCAAAAATGAAGACAAAATGGGTCCCAGTCCCAGGCCTGGCTGTCCCGCCTCTGATCCAGTTGTCTGCTTTGGCCTGGGAAAGCAATAGAAGATGACCCAAGTCCTTGGGCCCCTGCACCCATGTGGGAGACACAGAAGAATCTCCTGGCTGCTGGCTTCAGATTGGCCCAGCTCCGGCCATTGCGGCCATTTGTGGAGTGAACCAGTGGATGGAAGAGCTGTCTTTCTCTTTTTTGAAAAGCTGGAAACACAGAAAAGTGTAACTTCACTAGAAGAAACACTACAGAGATTTCTTCAGGCTGCTGCAGGAAGATGATTTAATGTGGAGATATATAACTCCAGGAATTTAGATAATCAAGACATAAAATGCAAATAAATATAAATGAATACTGACTTTATAAACCCTGTATAGTTTTACAACTTTTATGTACATCTACTTTTTCAAAATAAAATGCTCTTGTAAACCACATTAAACTTCCCCCAAAACCAGAGATGGCAGAAGGCACTTCAGGAGATCCCCAGTCCTTCCCACAAGACTAGAGATTATAATCATCCCAGCAAGTGGCTCATGGTCTAGCCAACAGTGGAGCTGACAGGTTTTTCCATGGGACTACTGAGCTCCTTAAAATTACAGGCCACTAGGCCG